ATATGAACGTATTAGGACATGTTAATAATCTGACTAACATTAGTTCACGAAGACATACCTGTAACTCAGTGAATCTGGGGAGCGCAACTGGTTAAAATAATTGGACTTAGCTTCAAGGTAAGTTTTGGAAGTGCATTCAGGTAATAGCCGAAGTTATGGACATGAAGTACAGCATAAAAATACCGGAGTCATTTACTATTTGGAGTAACACGCCCCCAAATACTCTGGTATGGCCGACAGAGGGGAGAGTTCGCTCTCCCTCTCGAAATACTCTCACACGGCCACGCGTATACAGCTTCTGTCAGGGAAGTCCTACTCACTGCCTTTTCGTGGCGGGGGCGTTGTCTACGAGAATGAGAGGACGAAAAGCGAATGTCTGGCGCTTTAACCGGATCTCAAACCAATGGTGCACATGGGCTCCAGGATCCTTAAGGAACAAATGGCGTACGAACCAATCGTTGGTCATCGGCTACCATGGGACTGCATCTCCTTACAATGCTCCACTGACTTGTGGGTTAGACCTTTAAATCAAAAGCTCGGGGTGTGACCCCCTAAGATAACGACCCGCTTCGGTCTGGGCACCCGGGCAGTATCACAGCCCACACGCAGATGATGAACTCTCTATATCTATGGGAACAATCAAATGATTCAAACTATTATCATTACTATTATTATTATTATTATTATTATTATTATTATTATTATTATTATTATTATTATTATTATTTACTACGACATTATTCACCCTCTTTTATTCCTACTCTGTCTATACTTATTTTTTCGACTTATACGGCAGCTCGTCTATGGTGGAAATTCGACTCTATCTAAACGTTGTCGAGTCACTGCCTGGTTGAAAATTGTATGTTACCATCGAATATGAGTACTAAAGCAGTTTCTCTGAAACCACATGCACCATTCAAACTGGTTGCCTTCAACATTCGCACACTTATGCAGGTTGGACAACAGATAGGGTTGGCTATGTCTTTAGAAAGTCTTAATATTGATGTTTGTTGTCTATCCGAGACCCGTATTCAAGACTCTGGTGAAGTATTACAAGTTCACTCTCCATCTGTCGCTTCAAAAAGTTTGTTTTACGTGCGCTTATCCGGGGACCCTGTGGCATCTCCGTCTGGTCTTGCTGGCGTTGGTGTCGCACTAAGTGCTAGAGCTGAGGCAGCACTAGTCGATTGGATCCCTATTAACAGTCGGTTATGTGCTGTTAGATTAGAGAGTTCTATCAAAGTGAGAAGAAATCGGCGTGAGAAACGATGTCTTTTCGTCATCTTCGCCTATTTTCCGACAGATTGCAGCCCGGATGCAATCAAGGATGAGTTTTACCACCAGTTATCTGTTCTTCTCCAGAAAGTGCGTTCGATAGATATTGTAGTACTAGCCGGAGACTTGAATGCTCAGGTCGGGCATCTAGGCACAGAAGAGAGACATTAAAAAGAAGAATATATTTGTAAAATCTCAGCGAATGAATTTTAAGTAAATCCAACGTTTCGCCTGGCAATCTGGTCCAAGCTTTTTCAAGGAAAATATAATCAAACAACAAAATTATCGAATAATTTTGTTGTTTGATTATATTTTCCTTGAAAAAGCTTGGACCAGATTGCCAGGCGAAACGTTGGATTTACTTAAAATTCATTCGCTGAGATTTTACAAATATATTCTTCTTTTTAATGTCTCAAATTAACTCGGCACCCAAATATTGTGAAACTACAGAAGAGAGTCGTTTAGGTGGCCGATGGGGACTCGTTGGTCGCAGGTCAGATAACGGGGACCGTCTACTGCAACTTTGCACAGACCACAACCTGTTTCTGGCTAGCACTAACTTTCGGCACAGTCATCGCCGATGTGCCACCTGGCGTCCTCCCTCTGCATCTCAAGCCTGGACTCAGATTGATCACATCGCGATCAGCTACCGCTGGCGTGGTTGTGTACAAGACTGCCGCTCCTTTTGGAGTACCTATCTGGACTCTGACCATGCCTTGGTCTGCGCCAATCTTGCCTTACTTTTCAGTGGACAACGAAGTGACCGCCACCAACGGATTGATGTTAGCAAGCTGGTTGCAACTTCTGTTGCAAGTAAGTATCGAACCGAGCTAGCCTCTAGGCTAGCTACCACTCCACCGAAAAGTATAGATGAGCATTGGTTGCAATTGCATGACGCCATGAAAATGGCGGGAACAGTCAGTTGTGGGTTTGCGAAACGTCCCGCTTTAAGCACTGGGTTTCTTCTGGTTCCTTACAACTCATTGAAGCCCGTCGGTCTACTCCGGGTGACCGTGAGTTTGACCATAAACGAAGGATGTTACGTAAGGAAATTGGGCAAAGCTTGCGTAAGGACCGAGAAGCCTGGTGGTCGAGCGTGCTAATGAGCTGGAAGCAGCAGCTGCATCTGGTAACTACCGGAAGCTCTTCCAACTCATCCGAGCCACTGGCAGCAAGAAGTCTGGTGTGAGTGAAACAATCTGCGAGGATGATGGGATGCCAATCACTAACATCCATCGACGTCTTGGACGATGGGCAGAATTTTTCGAAGGGCAGTTCAACTGGCCTGCTGCTCCGGCAACATCGGTCAGACTGTCCTGCCCTCCATGGCCGGTGACGACTGATCCACCAAATGAGGAGGAAGTCCGCAAGGAACTCCAACTCTTGAAGCGTTACAAATCACCTGGCCCAGATGACTTACCTCCGGCTCTTTTTAAAGATGGTGGTGACTTTTTGACTAAGGAATTGACGACGTTGTTTACAAAGGTTTGGGAACTAGAGAGTGTACCAACGTCATGGAATGAGTCGATAGTTGTCCCTATCTTTAAAAAGGGTTCACGTCGTTCCTGTAACAACTATCGGGGGATAAGTCTACTTCCGATTGCGTCCAAGCTATTGGCTTCCGTCATACTTCGTAGGTTGTTCAAAACCCGAGAAAGATTGACTCGCGAGGAGCAGGCTGGGTTTCGTTCTGGTCGAGGATGTATTGATCATATCTTCACCCTCCGCCAAATGTTAGAACACCGCCATACTTTCAAAGGCCAACAATCGTAGTGTTTCTTGACATCAGGGCTGCCTTCGATTCGTTGGACAGGACTGTTCTCTGGGATTGTCTATTGAAGAAGGGTGTGCCTGAGAAGTTTATTAACATCCTAAAAGCCCTATATAAAACACCTCAGGCAGAGTGAGGGCATACAACCACCTCTCTCCATTGTTCCATTCGAGCAGTGGGGTTAGGCAGGGTTGCCCAATCTCACCATTCCTCTTCAACTTTGCCATCGATGACATTCTGGAAACAGCTCTGATGAATGTAAGTAATGGTGGTGTGGATCTGTTGCCTGGAGAAAGACTTCTCGACCTTGAGTATGCGGACGATATTGTCTTACTGTGCGATAATGCCCAAGGCATGCAATCCGCACTTAATCAGTTGGCAATCAGTGTCCGTAGGTATGGTATGTGCTTTGCACCTTCGAAGTGCAAAGTACTTCTACAAGACTGGCAGGATTCTAATCCTGTACTCACCCTGGATGGTGAGCAGATAGACGTAGTCGAGAAGTTCGTGTATCTGGGTAGCTGCATAAGTGCTGGTGGGGGTGTGAGTGATGAGATCAATGCACGAATAGTGAAAGCCAGAGCGGCTTATGCCAATCTGGGCCACCTTTGGCGCCTTCGTGATGTTAGTCTGGCTGTAAAAGGTCGGATCTACAACGCGTCGGTGAGAGCAGTTTTGCTCTATGCTTGTGAAACCTGGCCTCTCCGAGTTGAGGACGTTAGACGACTCTCTGTGTTCGATCATCGCTGTCTCCGAAGGATTGCTGACATTCAGTGGCAACACCATGTCAGTAATGCAGAGGTTCGGCATCGTGTGTTCGGGCACAGAGATGATAATCAATTGGTGTCACCATCTTGAAACACCGACTTCGGTGGCTTGGACATGTTCTCCGAATGTCGTCCCAGAGAATTCCACGTCGTGCATTATTTGCCGACTCTGGGACTGGTTGGAAGAAGCGGAGAGGTGGTCAGTGCATGACATGGTGTCGTGGCATGAAAGAAAGCTGCAAAGGACTGGCTTGTGTTGGTCCTTCACGACTCCCTGGTTGGGGTCCGAGAGATGGTGCTACACAGTGGCTAGAGACGTTATCAGATATGGCTCAGAATAGAAGCCAGTGGCGATCCTGCTGTAACCTTCTTTTACTTTCTTCATAAAAAGTGGTTGTGTCTCCTTACCTGAAAGATTTCTTCTGATTGTACCTTTCCGTTCCCTCATTTTTACCATTATTATTATTACACCATCTTACATCAATCTCTTCATTATTATTCTCTTTTTTTTCCTTCCCCTTAAATTCTCATTTTGTGTGGCGCATATATATTTGGCGCATTCTTGTACCAATATTTATGTGTTCAAATAAATAAATAAATTTGGAGTAAAAACAGTGATTAAAACTGCTAAAATACATAATGAAGGGTTAAAATTCATTTCGTCTTGGAACCCTTTCCCTAACTAACTGATGAACAGTAAATAACTTCAAGTGATTGACATCAAGACCAAAAGTATTCTACACAGAGAAGTAAGCCTAATTATCAATGACAGTACCATATAGAGGAAGAAAGTGATAAAGTACTTGTGGTGAATGACATCAGACTCAAGAAAGCGCTAATTTTGGCACATTAAGTCAAGAAAGTGTCCATAAATCGTATTCAGTAAATGCCCGGCAAGACAAACGAAGTTAGAGGACTAGTGTACTTGCTAAAATAGTAGGATTCGTAATCCTTGGGGATTTACTGGAAATCAGAAACAGAAGTACCCAGCTAACAGAAATACAGCAGCTAGGTGGTATTTTGGTCATATATTTACATCACACTAGACTCCAGAAGAGTGTATAAACCAAGTCACAGTATTGAAAGCTCTGCAATAACACACGACTATGTAATAAATCGAAAATGATTCGGTTGAAGTTACATATATATACGATCAGATTACACTTAATATGATAAGAAAAACTCACCGAAACTTTTTGGCAAGACCAAAATCAATTATAAAAACTCTGTTGCACTGACGACCAATACCCATTAAAAAATTATCTGGTTTTATATCACGATGAATGAAGCCTTTTGCATGTATAAAATCAAGTCTCCATAACATTTGATCAGCTAACATCAAACAGTTTTCATTGTGAATCTGCGACCACAAAACGTAAAAAGATCCTCCAGCTAGGTCCTAAAAGTTCTATTACCATAGCATGATATAGATTTCTAACGCCGTCAAGTCCATAAAACTGAATACGAGGTATTCCTGGAGTTTCCTTAGAGTAAATAAATGACTACAAGAATCCTAACTCACTCGCAGTACTCGATACACTTTACTTTCAAAATACAGTTGACAATGTCGTGTGCGTACACGCTCCATTTTTATTGCTACTTCCTCTCCCGTAACGATGTTAACCCCCAAAAATATAGAACCAAATGATCCACTTCCGATTTTTCGTACAAGTCTCCACTTTTCCGCTACTATATACTTAGATGACGATAAACGTTGAGAGTCATCCATCCCTTTTACACCTTGAAGTCAATAAATAAATGCATCCAGCTTAATATAAACGGAAAAGAAATACAACATTACCTATGCATAGCTGCATAAGATTTTTCAGTATAAAAATAACAGAAATATAGTTTAGTTCGCCCAAAAACAATCCTAAATAAAAATGTATAAGTAGACATTTCTCGCCGCAAGATCCGTCGCCCAGAAAATCACTGCAGACATGTTTTCCAAGTAGCTGGTCGACTGGGAGGTCTGCACCTGAATTTCATACTTAAGTAATGATTCTGCCTAAATTATCTTAGTGACTGCTCATATTGTTTCATAAGAAGCAATGGAAAACGGAATGTGACAAATAAAGTGGTTAGTCTGACCAATATGGTTTTTAAGAAATTAGCTAAGATAAACTAATTCAGAAGGGGGGAAACCAGGTGATTCTAAAGCTTTGTCAGAGCTGTACGGACACAATAACCATTGTTAGCCAACTGTGATCAGTACTAGCCCTGAAACAATCTTTATCAGCTTTATAACAATTAACACTTAAATCTCGACGAATTAGTTGTTTAAAAATTCCAATTTCCAAGCGAATTACTACATGTTTACGATGCTTTTAGATATCGGACAACCACAGCTTTGCGGTAACATCACCCGAATGGTATTTGCCGTACCGTCGGTCCAACTATTTGGTCATACATTTCGGCTTAATCTTCATAAAAACAGATCAATACAACAGGACCTATGGTGTATTACCTAGTTACTAAGTTGAATGAAAATGAATCCATGGTTATTTGGCTTGATAATAATTAATGTGGAGTGTTGTCAGGCCTTGATGACTGGTAAATAGTCAACTCTTTTACTATAGGAATTCAAAGCAGTTGACATTGAGAAATGACGGTACAATACACAGACAGAACGCACTTACACTTCACGCAGGAAGCAATCAACAAGTGGTGTACAATTATGAATTCAGGAGCTGATTAAATGTGTATGTAGCGACTAAAGTCTAGCCAGTATGTTTTATGCTGTGTAAATATATGAAGGAGTGTATGTGAATAAATCTGAAAAACGGGAGAAAATATCACACAAATCAGTAGACATAAGAAAGCACTTACATTTCGTAATGGAAATAAACGATGATAACCAGTTTTTAACCAATAAATCCCCGCCGAGACCTTCGATTTACCAGTATTCAATAGTTGCGTAAATAGAATATTTAATCCAGTATATATTTTTCAGCAGTGAAGATGAGAAACCAATCGTCCTATATTATTTCTTTTAATTCATAGTACCATGATGATCAAATGCCACTTTGAATGTATCAACAAAATATGTTCATATCACGAGAACTTGTAGAGAATTCCAGTGATTCACTATTTGGTGAAAGAAAGAGAACCCTAGATATAAATGATTTGATCCCAGTCTTTGGACTTTTTACTCGGATGATCAGCTCTTGATGGAAGGAAGGAATAAGATATATCGATATCAAAATCTGAGTTCATTATGCGGTAAGGCAGTATTAAATCACCTCTTTTCCTAGAGTTAGATAACGGAAATAGGTTGTAGCATCTCAGCCTATTTCCATAAGATAGGTCAAGAGACACTTTACCACTTTGGTCATTCGTCATTAAACTCGTTCTAGTTGTAGCGGTAAATAAATCCTCAAAATAAATAGCTCTGTAAGTTTTCGACATTGGATGCCGACCACATTAGATTTAATGGACTCACCTAACTGAAGGCACTCGGTCATGCATCCGCACCAGATCACGAGTGGGAACGCCGTGCTGAACATCCCTTGTAATCGCTACCCAGATTAGGTCAGCCGATCCACGATATATTGATAGCCTATCAAATTTGTCTTTGAACCTCCTTGCTTCTGTCTTTTGATTTCACTTGATGGGTGTGATTCTTATTAGAAGGCGTTACTGGTTAAGGCCTCGTCAAACACTGAATACCTGTGCTATTTTCATAGTAAATCCGCTCAAAACTTCGGACAATTAATTGTAGCGGTAAATAAATCCCCAAAATAAATAGCTCCGTAAGTCTTTGACATTTGATGCTGACTGCATTAGTTTTAGTGGACTCACCAATCTGAAGGAGCTCCGTCATGCATTCGCACAAAATCACAAGTGAGTACACAGTGCTTTGGATGCCCTACAAACTCTAACAACCCTAGATTAGTCCGTTGTCAATATATCGATTACCCATCAGATATATCTTCTATCCCCTTCGCTTCTGACATCTGATTTGACTGGGTTGGCTTATTTCGATTATAGGTGCTGTTGGTTAAGTTGTTGTCAAACTCCGAATACCCGAGGCATCTCTTGTGTTAAGCTTTATTTGATCTGATGCAGATGATCCTAAACTCGTCGATGGAGTATGTTACGTTAACGATCTGTCTCCAGATCACGAAATACAGATAACCTCGACTGGTGTTGGTATCATACTCAGTACGGAAAATCTTTTCGAAAATGCGGAAAACCCTGCAATTTTCCGAGCTCTAAACCAATCAACACGAAAAGTACTTCGAGAAACTTTCCAGCCGGCACGAGTCGTAGGCGATATGTGTACCATAACAGGGGTTTATGCAAATCCATCCGATGGATTTTCATTGTTACAGGTGTTTCTATGCCAACTATCGCTACAGACCTGCTACAACAGCATAATCTGCTTATCGACACGCGTGAACGCAGGTTAGTAGAAGGAAATACTGATTTGTCTGTCTGGAAAATTTCTTTTTCCGTTTGTAGACTATCCCAAGACACAGTAAGACATACGATCGATTCATACCACCAACAAAAACTCGATTCCTAGCCAAACACAACCAAAACTGCCATGTGTAACTAGCAACGTTACACATCACATCACGACTACATGATCGCCTGTATTCTCGAAAGCGCGCCGATTAACTCCGAAAAGCCAAGGTTGGCGGAAAACGAATTCGACCACATGATAGACTTAGGTATCATAAGACCGTCAAACAGCCCATGGGCATCTCCATTGCACATAGCCCCTAAAAAGAGCAGCAACCATTGGAGTCCAACTGGTGACTATCGGTGATTGAATGCAAAAACCATTCTCGATCGTTACCCTGTCCTCACATTCACGATTTGACAGCTACCTTGAAAGGTACAACTGTCTTTTCGAAAATCGACTTGGTTAATGCGTATAACCAGATACCTATGGCTACTGACGATATTCCTAAAGCCGCTATCATAATTCCCTTCGGACTCTACGAATTTTTGTGAATGCCTTTCGGCTTAAGACATGCTGCCCAAACATTCCAAAGGTTCATAGACGACGTTTTTGAGGTCTCAACTTCGTACATGCGTATGTTGACGACTGCCTAATTGCAAGTCCGGACACGGAATCGCATCTCCAGCATCTGGATATTGTTTTCGACTGAATACAGAAGCATGGCATTGCTGTAAACATTCAGAAGTGCCAAATCGGAACCGACTCATTAGACTTTCTAGGACATACTATCGATACTCACGGAATTCGGCCCCTTAGAACCAAAGTGGCGGCCATTTTGGATTATCCAGAACCGACCACCGTCAAGCGACTACGCACGTTTAACGGCCTGGTAAGTTTCTATGGACGTTTCATGCAGAAATGTGCCTCTTACCGATCAACTTCGTGGAAATGCGAGATCCATCAATTTGGACGATATCGCACGAAAAGCATTCTCCACAATTAAGGAACTTATCGCTAAAGCAACAATGCTTGCATATCAGGACACCGAATCACCCATTAGTATCGCCGTTGACGCATCAGACTCAGCAATCAGAGGAGTCTTACAACAATGGGTTAACAACTCATGGCAACCTTCGGCATTTTTCTCTAGACGGTTGCTAGACAAAGAATCGAGGCATATCAATTTTTGTCGAGAACTCTATGCCATTTATTGTGCTGTGCGAAGGTTTCAACACTCCTTGCAAAGCCGAAAGTCTACTTTTTCACCAATCATAAACTTTTTACATTATTTTTAAGCTCGTTCTCAGTCAAGTACTTTCGTCGAAAGTCTAAACAACTGGACTACATTTCGCAGTTTACTTCAGACATTCAGCATATTTCTGAAGCAAGAAGTGTAGTTGCAGACGCTTTGTTTGGTATAACTCCCTCAAAATATTTTCAGGGAATTGAGCTTCTTAAACTCACTCAACTTCAAAAAGACATTGATCTTCAGGACGAGTTATCTTCGACAAACCTGGAACGACGTATTAAAGAGATTCGAACAGGCGAGAAAACCTCACTAATGGCTTTATTCAATATTATTGGCGTCTGGTTCTACCAGAAGATATGCAATGCGAAATATATGAACGGAGGGGATGGTTAGTATCTGACAAAATAACACCTGCCAGGAGTTTTCAAGACTTTAGATGTCTACCCACAACCATATTATTGATTAAATCAAAAGACTCGCCACACACCTTGCTAGCTTCAGCACTCTACGCAATACAGCAAAGTCTTTTCTCAAAAGCCCCGGAAGAGAAATGGAGGACAGTAAAGAATAATAGGCAATATGAAGGAGTTGACAAATTGCAAAGGTAAATGACGAGTAATCCCAAAAGCCCGTAGACTCTTTATGTAGTAGGTTTGACGGAAAACGTTCTTCGACAACAGTAAAACATGAGAAGACCAAGAGAGATAAGAGGAAAAGGCAACACCGAGATTACTGACCTTTGATAGTGTGTTTATCAAAGATTCTCCAATAGCAAAATCATTATGGTATCCCAGAAAGGGTGTTTAGGTGCTGTACATGTCTCAGGCTAAAGTAAATAGCTTAATATTTAAACGGCCAAAGTATGAGACCATTAACAACAAACCCTCATTCAGTACGTGACAAATTTCATTTATTTATGTGGGATGTAAAGAGGTAGAAACTAACAAACACACAGTGAGATCATTCGCATATTTCACAAAAGTGTTTTCTGTGGAAGATGACAGATCATGCAGAAAAGGATGAAAGGAAGCGGGTGATAATAGCTCCTTGTGGCACACCATGAGACGATAGAGAGTCTGAACACTTTCCTCAAAACACAGTTTACTGTTCACTTCCGGAAATGTTGGAACATAGACAGTCTGTTATCAAGCTCTCAGTGTAGATGCTGATTAGCTTGTTAAGTCAACGTTTTCTTCAAATAGAAATAAAAGAAGAAATATGGTCCATAATGGCGCATCGAATATACTTCCTACCCTTTTCCAAGCTGAATGCATATTGAGATGCGGAAAAGCAACATCATCTAAGTTTCTTTTTTCCGCTTGTATGCAAACCGATGCAGATCAATGTGCTCCTTTATGCAAGTTGAATTTAGAGTATCAAAAACTTTTCCATCGCTTGAAAAAAGATGTTATTGCTATGGGTCTAAGTTCCGCATTTTTATAACTAGATCTTATTACCAGATCTTTACAGTTCAGGGTTCTGTCAGGTCCTAAACATTAAGATGAATTAAGTGACTGGAAACATTTCCGGACATTGTTTTCACGACTATTCTACAAGCCTGTGGGTATAGAGAGCATGACATCAGATGAATGACGTAAAAAAGACATATTTAAGTCACAAACATTCAGGTCGTTACCGCTTTTAATTTGCCTGCCACCTGTAAGTTCTTTAAAGTTTTCACATACTTGGAGAGTTTTCACAAGATAGGATTTTCCGAGGAAACATTGAGTTCAGACGTCTCATTTCTTGGTCTGTTAGACCCTTTAGCTTACGAACTTCCATAGATTTTGCCCCCTTGTACATTCTTTCTTTCACCCTCTGCAATTGTTTCAGTTGTTGAGATGTAAGTCGATCATAACTTACAATAACAGTACCGGTGGAACAACAAATATCAAAACAGAACTTAGGATAAATAGTGATAAAATCAATTATGTTTTCCGACTTGTTATTTGTAAATAATAATCCAATCGCCCTACGAAACATGCTTTTTAGAATCTGGACATTATCTTCTGAGTACTTCCTATATTTTACTTTCTTGCGCTGATAAAAAAGTATATTCTTTCTATGCCTTCCATATACTTTAGGTAGAACGCGAATTATACAGTGATCTGAACTAGACACTCGAGCATATGTAACCACACCATTAATGAAAACGGAGTCTAAATGAACATCCAAACCAGTGGTGAAAACAAATACGACTTAGTGACCTAAAATCTTGTCAATTTAGAGCAATCCATTTCAAATCCATGTTATTATTTGATCAAAAACGGTATTCATCCTCATGCGACGTGATATAGGACAGTGTAATCTACGTTGCAACATGTTGAAACAGAGAACTCTGAATAATCGACCGTCTGTTTTCAGATTAACAAGCGACTGTAATAATCCATACCTATGAAGGATCATATACTAGTTAAAATCAGAATTTTTAAAACTCCACTAGTACTGTGCATTTGTTTCACGACGTCGAGCTTCCTTAATCCGATATATCGGAATGAAAGAGCATGTAGATGATGGCTTATAATAGTGGTACTCTCAAGGCAAATCTAAATACGAAGTGAGCAAAATGAATGAACTTCCTTGGAAAACGTTTCTTTCGATGACGCAAGAAGGGACTTGTACAATTGCATTGTAAAATGCATTTGCAAAACATTGCTTAACTAAATATTTTGTAGACGTTAAATCACTACTTTTCAAAATAAAAGGATGTTTCTACCAGACAAAAATCACAATTCTACGCCACTGATGGACCGACTGAAAGGTGCTCAACGAAGAATGGGGAACCGTCATGGCTGCCACAGCAATAAAACGTTGGACAGGACGGATTAATTCCCTTCACAGTAATCCGGAAATAAAGCAACGTAACCAAAAAAACAATAGTAAATGGATATTCGCAATAATACTTCCTTTATTCAGAAATTAAATATAGCACACGCGAAGTGGAAATTAAGTATCATAAACTTATGTTCAGATAGTTATAAAGGATACCGTCTTTTGCAAGTATATATGTAGGGATGTTCACTAGCACAAAACAAATGCAAAAAGATCGTAAAGTATATTTCGGAGGTAGATTCAGATAAATACTTGTCAGAGTATATCTGACAATAATCGTAGATTGCAAAATGGAGTGACATTTCATCGATGTATTTTACTGAACCCCTTAGGCTTCTCAGCGATCAGTGACAGTCACCAGTTTCCAAATCCAAACTCAGGGCACTTAACCTCGCCAATATGTTACTATTGTCTTACATTGTTGGTGAAATAATGCAAAATCTCAAACTCTGAAACCGCCACGATTATATCGAAACTAAATCGTTGCACGTTAGGCATAGTTATCTCGATCAGCTTCAGTATCCCTAGTCGTTATAACTGCTACGACTATTTATTCAACTACTTGTAACCTTAATATATATGCAACACTTCCTGACTTACTAAAAATTGCTAATCAAAACAGTCGAGCGTAGAGTTACCATTTCCTTTGATCCTTTCCTTTTTAGTCTTTATCAGTTGATCCTTTTACCTACCGCTTTTCATTATCAAATATTCTGAAAGGCATTAATCCCCCCAGTCCCTATGCCGTAACAACAAGACCTACTTGTTGATAACTTGTTCTACGGGAGGGTGCATTGGGTAATCGTTAGGAGGAGAAACAATAACAAGTTAGTAGCGGCTGTACCAAGAATTCGGAAAGTGTGACATTAATCAAAAATCCCTGTCGTTATATCCAAGTAAAGCTACAAGAACAACCGCAGAACAAACAGATCCTACCTGGTGGGTACGATTATCGTAGCTAACCTGTGCCGCTTATGTCGGAGCAAAAAGACGACGGAAGGTACACCTCCTTCACTTAGAGTCACACTACTCCACAATGTAGACAGACTTAATACTCCTGAAATCTGGTAGAACAATAGCTAAATGGTTTTGGGCCATTAGGGTTTGGTATGGCAAGCTTCCTAAGGTGTAAAAATCCGAAAGTAAGCCAACTAAAGATGTTGAAAAACCCGCCAGTATGGTGGTTTATGGGGTATTATAGTTGATTTACGGCAATCAGTAGGAAGTTTGTGAAGATAACATATAACAGTGGTCTTAGTTGTCACGCCCTCCAGGGAGTTTATAAAACGTCGAAGACCATTGTATCCTAACGTCATTTGATGAGAGTGAAATTCTATAATCAAGGCGACCTAACTTAAATCCTTAGGGAAATGAGAAACACTGTTTTAACGGGATGTATATTTGTATTGGAATACACTGATTGGCTATGTCCTAGCCAATCAACACTGGCGGGTGCTCAGAGAAGACTCTAGAATCTCGTGCAAAATCATAAATATACTAATGTGCTTCTCATTTTGATTCCTAATTCCATTCAACCTTTCCTATTTGGAATATAATTATGTTTCTGTTCAATCGTGTTTCGATTTGGGGACCTATCGAGTGAAATATTCCAAGAATGAGCGATAAGGTTAACTGGGTTGCAGTAAGAGAACTCATAACACACTGGTAGACCGACCAATGAACATTTTTTGATAACAACTTTATACTTGGTTTATGAAGCTAAATATTAGTTCAGAGCCTTGAGCAGACAATTAAAGGTAAATATTTCTCCACTGAACTCATGTTTTTCAATACTACAGTTTCAGGGTTTTCGAATTTTGTTAGATGCCTCCTTAGTTATACTATGTTTGTGGAGACACTTTGGCACAGTGACCTAACGGGTTCCATGTAATAGATTGTGAACTTTCACGCTCTGAAATAACACTTCCAAACGAAAGCAAACAAAAGGGGTATCGCTAAGGATAGATAATCTTGCTAATCACTTGACATCCATTGTTTGGAAGAACTGCTTGGCAGATTTTCAGTTTACTACTAACTTATATTACAATAAAAAGCGTGGCCGTTTAAAGGCCCATTTTCGTGAGCAAACGTAAGTTCCGTTACTTAGGAAACTCGATACTTCATCAACTGGGCCGCCAGAGAGAGCTATCTGCTAATCCTAATAAAATAGTGTTGTTTTGCCATTTTTTTGTTTCCGATCTGATTTGTCTTTGTACATAGAGAAACAATACGGCAAATAAGGTCCGCTCTAATTACAACTCTGATACTCAACGAACTATATTCCTGACAATTATGTAGTATGTCAATGAGTGACTTCCGTGTTCTCACAGTAATAAAACAAATTGAATCCAGTACTGATATAATTCATAAATAAATGTGTCATACATGTAATAAATGTAAAAACCGATACTTCATTAGTATTACGGTGCAACACCTCTGGATAATTTGATGGACTAATTATGCAATAATTAGATCAGTAATAAAGCATTATGAAAGAAATTAGTAAACCCTTATTAGGAAGGAATGTTAACAACTTGGATTATTTTATTACAAAAAATAACTTATATGGGAAATAAGCTTGGTATAAACATGAATAAATTACTGATTAGATTTATCAACAAAAAATATGTACTATAAAAAGACTGGGAAAATCAGATCATACACAACTACTTTTTCTGGCTGGTAAAAGACAAAGATTATAATGAACACTGGATTTCCAGAAACTTTGAAGTTTCCACCCACACCAACCTTTTTCGGTAATAAGCTTAATATTTCCAAAGGGGCCAGTATAATGAGGATCCAGAATTAAATAGCGATATGACGAAGATTCAGTACCGTTTAATGTTGACTCACATAATTGAACACCAATAATTGTATGAGCTAATTGGCCACCACCAACCATAACTGGTCCTCCACCGGAAGTGAAATGCTGTGCAAGAGCATGTGCTGCTAGCTGGTTCATCTGATGTCCTTGTGGGATGTGCAAAAGCCGACACTGAATGTTGTATAACTCTTGCAAACAATAACTCACCTGAATACAAGCACAGATACATGCAACTTTAAAATACAAGACAAAATCTCAAGAATAGAATTATTCCTATATATATTTCGCAAAACGAGTGAAAGTAGCACCAGAAAATCCTTTTTATCACTGCAATTTACCATAATTCATACAAAAAATACTCAAAATCTGCTCACTAAATATACGAAGATGCATTAGCAACTCTTTGTGGTGTTGCAAGTGTAGCAGCGAGTTCGAAAGTCGATACGAGGCTGAGTAGTTTAGACAAATTTTTCAGTCTCAGTCCTGAGAGGATATTGCCATATCCATCTGCTGCAATTACGCTTAAAAATTCACTTATGGAGAAATTGTCCCATTTGGTGACCCAGTACATCGACTTAGCAATAGGCATAAATAAATGTAGCCCTAACCGTGAAGCCATTGTCTATTGGTGGAGTCATTGTGACAATATATATAATAAGTGATATGATTGCAAATCGGTTGCAGTGGTGCAGCATTTGTATTTATTCCTGTTTTTAGATCTTATGTTTTAATATTATTTCGTTTAGTTTATTTAGTTCTGTTCATCTTTTAAAAACCGTATCCGTTTATTTTTTGGTATTATATTCGAAAATACTATTTTTAGCTACGTATCTTGCTTTGCTGAAGTGATGTATCAACTAGAGTTGGTCCGCGCTTTTTCCCGATTTTATGTTGCTTATGACATTGACTGATCATCATTTCACTTGCGAGGATCATGATGATAAAGGTTTAGGATATATGGAGAAATATATGGCTCATTAGATATTAGGCACCAACAGGTTGTTTACGAAGCTAATAACTGTAGTCACTTTTAATAAAGACGAGACTCCCTCGTTTTTTATTTTAACACATAGATGTTGGTACAAGGAGGCACCAAATACATATGCGCCACACAAATCTCATTTGATATGTGTGAGGGCTGTTATATTTCCCAGGTGCCCAGACCGAAACAGGGACTCTCTCGTTACCCTGTGGATAACCTCCAGACAAATCCGTTGCATGGAAATATTAGTACAGAGGCATTGAGTCGATTAGTTTGGGACAAGATTCATACGGATCAAATGGTTCATTAGAAGCATCCAAAACAAAACAAATTTCACTAAATACAAGAAATTGTATATTCATTTTCGAACCATGAATTGGCATCTAGTTTTTTTAGAGGATAAGGATTTGCACTACTTAATCAGTTTTAAAAATAGTAAATAGATGAATTCTAATCATATATAATAGACAAACGTTACATAAAAAGAACTCATTAAACTGAATTTTGAAAACTAATTATTCAAGTACGTTTCTAGAAATCGAATTAGCTTCTTCCGAACATGACTACTGTTTCACACGTATCAATAAGCAGAATTCTTAACTGTTTGAAAGTGTCGTAAATTTATGAAACTCGTTACGCGGTACTTCTCTACTATGATTAGGCATAAAATATGTTTTACAAATAATATCAACATATAAACGACAAATAAGAACCGTACAAGAAAAACCGAAAAATATGAAATTAGAAATATTTATAATACAATACTGAGAGTAAAGGCTTTGTTATTACAAGAACACAAACGTAGTATGATACAAAACAGCCAAAATGTAACGCAGAAAATATAAGCTAAGGGTTTAATTACAAATAAAACGGTAAGAAAACGGACACCAAGAAGTTAACACATGTACATTGACGTCCCCAGCACAATTTTAGGTTTTTATATAACAGTTTCTATTTTTACTAAAATTCTCCTGACAGACTTTCTACTTAGTTTTGTTAATATACATAAAGCATCAAATCTGAAAATTAATTTTAGGATCAATACCTGGTATTTAATTGATAAATAAATCTGAAAGAAAATGAACACATAATGGGATCTACATTTAGGCTTTTGCTAACTAACTACTTCATTAATGACATCTATCTGTTAATTAGATTGAGGCTTACGAAAATGTGTCAACATATTTCACATTTTTGTACTGAACTTAGGCTTACATAGGATTCTGCATTTACTTCATATACTTATAGACAGAGAAAAGGGAATCGGTGGACCAGATCTCTTTTAAACTGATAATAAATGAATAAACGTTCAAGAAGAAAGTTAATTATAAACCAAAGTAAAGTATTCGACTAATTTATGCCTATAACTTCACCATGACAATATAGTCGAGGTATTTCTTTGGATAACACACTATACAGTGAACCATTAGTATTTGTTTTATCGGTATCGATGTAAAAAAGTGCTCCGATTAATTCCCTTATATAAAATAAATGATCACATTTCAACAAAATATTTAGAGACAATAAAGTTATGGATATTATCTACTTATGTTTTCATTTAATCCAAACGCATAAAATAACCCAAAGACGCGGTGCTGTTAAAACAGAACTGAGGAGAATTAGAATATGAGTCGTATAAAAAGAATATCAACAATACTTAATTTAAAAATCACGCGAAAGAGTTATGCAACAAAATCCTATTCTATGAACAACAACCACTTTGGTTCCAATTAGTAAAAAAAGAGGTGTGTGACACTTTATAATGAAATTTAAACCGCTCTATGAACAGTTTAACAGCTAGTGTAAAAATCAGCGCTTCAAATACTCATTCGCGTTAAAGCTATCTCTGTTGTCGTCATCAAGCATTGGGTGTTGTAAATCCTCCCTTCGATGATTAAAGTAGAGTTGGCTGAATGTTCAAAGCACTCGATTTTCAAAAAATAGGTGAAAGGTTTGATCCTAATCAATACTAGTTCCGTTTGAGAACTCGTGCAGTATCGAGAGTTGTTATATAGACCCTAAGGCTCAAATCCGAGTACAATACCCACATAGTGAACGGGTTATGATATGTCCGAACCCAAACGCCTGCAGCTGAATCCGAGGAGCTAGACCTATTTTCAGAAGGCTTATTTAATAAATTGAGCCTATTGGAAATCAACCAAATAGTTAGTGCACGAAATTGACTAAGAAGTGACTTGCTTTTCTAAAAGGTGGGACATACATCAAAGGTGGCCTGACTTAGATGACTGTTTGATTGCTAATCTCAAAAACACTATACTTAGACGAAAAACTGATAGCCTTTATATGTACAAGAGATATTTAGATGACACTTTCATTATTTGTGACAAAAATACCAATGTCAACGATATCTTGGATGCGTTCACTGTCATCAATCAACCAAGTTCACAAAGGAATCAGAGTAGGATTCAGAATTCCACTTCTTATATATTTTTGTTAAAGAGACCTGGCGGTCCTCTACAAACATCGGAATATAAAAAGCTAACATAGAATGATCAATACACGAGTTTTTAAAGTTGGGTCCCGCTTGAATCAAAAGAGAAACCTAATTAATTTTCTATGTAGGTGTGGTAGACGTAACTGTACCGAGGATACAATCGATACCAAATTTGATAAACTACGGCAGATACTGATCAACAACGATACACACCCAGATTCATTGAGAAAAACCCCATGCCAATACAACGTGTCTCGAGCACCGAAGAAGATTCTCTTCATGAACATTCAGTTTAAATGAAATATTGCGATGGAAATTTTGATAAATAGGCCTTCGAGATCTCTAAGAAAAACAACCTTTTCAGTTCGCTTATGATTTGTAGTTGTGTGGAAAATAAACTTGCGCTTTGGACAAAATCAATGTGCATCTATCAGTTTACTTGCTCATGTGGAGCAGTATATATTGGCCACACAAAGCGAGCTCTTTCAAAAAACATTTCCGAACACTATCCTGCCTGGCTTACCAAAAGATCACAGAAGTCGGTAAAAAAAATCAATCTTGGAGCATCTAGTCAACTGATATAAGTATTATTCAGGAACAGTTTGTCCATTTAGTTTATGGTAATTTGTCCTGTAAAGTATATATTGGTACAAGAGAGCGCCAATATATATGCGCCACACAAAACAATGAAAATTCGAGAGGAATACAAAGAAAGAAAAAAAAAAGCTAAGGAGCGCAACAAAAAAAAGAGAGAACAATAACGAAGAGATTGGTGTAAGGTAATGTGCTAGTAATCAGGGAACGCAAAGGTACAATCGGAAGAAATCTTTCAGGTAAGGGAGACACAACCACTTTTTATGAAGAAAGTAAAAGAAGGTTACAGCAGGATCGCCATTGGCTTCTATTCTGAGCCATATCTGATAACGTCTCTAGCCACTGTGTAGCACCATCTCTCAGACCCCAATCAGGGAGTCGTGAAGGACCAACACAAGCCAGTCCTTTGCAGCTTTCTTTCATACCACGACACCATGTCATGCACTGACCACCTCTCCGCCTCTTCCAACCAGTCCCAGAGTCGGCAAATAATGCACGATGTGGAATTCTCTGGGACGACACTCGTAGAACATGTCCAAGCCACCGAAGTCGGTGTTTTAAGATGGTAACACCAATTGAATTATTATCTCTGTGCCCGAACACACGATGCCGAACCTCTGCATTACTGACATGGTGTTGCCACTGGATGTCAGCAATCCTTCGGAGACAGCGATGATCGAACACAGAGAGTCGTCTAACGTCCTCAACTCGGAGAGGCCAGGTTTCACAAGCATAGAGTAAAATTGCTCTCACCGACGCGTTGTTGATCCGACCTTTTACAGCCAGACTAACATCACGAAGGCGCCAAAGATGGCCCAGATTGGCATAAGCCGCTCTGGCTTTCACTATACGTGCATTGATCTCATCACTCACACCCCCACCAGCACTTATGCAGCTACCCAGATACACGAACATCTCGACTACGTCTATCTGCTCACCATCCAGGGTGAGTACAGGATTGGAATCCTGCCAGTCTTGTAGAAGTACTTTGCACTTCGAAGGTGCAAAGCACATACCATACCTACGGACACTGACTGCCAACTGATTAAGTGCGGATTGCATGCCTTGAGCATTATCGCACAGTAAGACAATATCGTCCGCATACTCAAGGTTCTTCAGAACAAGGTAAAGTTAACCTTAATGACTTTGCTTACCATATTTTAACTGCCGTACAGG